GAGAGCGGGAGATTGGCTCTGTATCCGGGAGACTCCCGAATAATCCGGCATATATGATGATATAGCTCTGGCTAGATACATCCCTTACACCATTCTGATGAAATGGCACCAGCTTGTTGGGGTAAAAGATGACAAAATAAATGAATTAGACTTCATTGACTACCTTAACCTTTGGATCCTGGGTCAATTCAATCCATCGAATTATGGATGTACGCGGAGGTTGCTAAGCAAAAGAAAAAAAGGGTAAGAGGGGAGGTGCGACTCTAGCTTCTTGAGTGCTTAGCAAACCTTCCAAGTGTATCCAAAACTCGATGGTTGTTCGCTGCATGCTGATCATTTCTTTAAACTTTGCTACTTTCAAACACCTTTCGCTCAGCGTGGAAAATAAAAGAAAGTAATAGATACATACTTATAGAAAATAAGGAAAGAAGACTCCTGTCTTTTCGCATTTTCGATCTCGATTCCATCCCGACGTTCCCAAGTATAACTTCCATCGCCACTTATGGTGCAGTTCAGAGACAATGGTACTTCCTCAGTTACATTCATAACAACGGTGGTGTTATGATGTCAATTACTACGACAACAAGATATTGAACCAATGTTAGCGAATATATCTTAGACTAACCTCAGCATTATTTCTCAAAGATTAGTTCATTTTTAACTTTGGTGAGTCAGATATTTTTTTTACTTTTTCAGATTATTTCATTTTCGATACTAACTTGAAGGACGAAATTATCTCGTGGTGACAGCGATTTAATTTGCCTGGAAGTAACAAATTATCTTGTAATACCCCTCACCGACCTGGTACCCACAATTTGTTTAGAAACTTATCTCCCAAGTGAGCAACTTGTGAAGCTTTCTTTCAGTCGCGACATGGTTTTTAGATTTTATTAATTTTTCACGCGTTACGTTTGATCTTAAGCAAGCTAGTCGTGGTTCAGTGTATCCCCGTTTTGGCGGGGTCCATAAGCCGTATGACAAAATGTTGCAGCAGATGCATGATCACGTAACAACAGTTTGAAAAGTGATTTGAAACGTGAAAAGTGACTTTCAATTCCCAACATGCGCATGTGTTGTGTTACAATGGTTTAATCTATAGACAGCTTGATAGAGAGAAATAGATTCGGAGTTACATACGAATATCATATCATTTCTATAATGAAATAAACTTTCCATATCGTGTCTTCATTGTGTCTATTTTTTGGCTGACCCGAGATCAAGGTGTGTTGTTGAATTTGGTTTAGTCGACGAGACAACAACGTCATGCTTAACACCATGTGTCTGTCAGTCACAGTTATAATTATAGCACTCTGAATATTAGACAAATACAAGAAAATAACTTTTGATCAATAAGGAAATGACAGGAAGTAGAAGTTAATGAATCAAGGCAATTCAGTCTGAACTGAGTGGAATTGTGTTTGTAGATCAAACATATTTGAAATTCATCCACCCACGTTACGAGAAAGAGAGTTTCACGAAATTTGTTCTATTACCGCAGGATTGTGCGTGACTTAAGTTTTTTACGTGACGTTGTGGTAGTCTGGGCCAGGCGCTAGGTCCCGGATGACCACGCTAGTGAACGTTTTCGTGGTAGATTCCTAGCCTTACAGTTTATTTACGGTTTACGGTTTTTGCGGTCTTATGGTCACTGCTAAAAGGACGGATAAAAGGAATATAAGGGCTATAAGTTGTTTCCCAAGGTTGAAAGGACACAGATGTAAGTTTTCTGTTTATTTCATAATAATTTGTTACCTATAATTTCTGCTCTGATAGTTGAGGCACTCTGCTTGTTATAATTCTAGGTTTTTGCCTTTTATTTTTCATAGTTTTCATTACCTCATCTCGCCTTGTCTCACTTCAATCGATTAATGTGATTATGTATGCATGTGGATGGAAATCCATAAGCGTAATGACTTTGTGAAAAAACAAGTTGCTGTTTTATGTGATCTTTGTTCGTCTTTGCGAACAGAGATCACACAAAGGGGCCGCAGCGATCATAACGAAGGCAGTTCTGCAACCGTATGTTCAGAGATGTGAGAACTTTCTGTAAATGCGTAAATACGTTTCCGTTTTCTACCAGCTAGCTCGAACTCTCCTGTTGGTGGTGAATCGAGTTACTGCACTTAATTTAGGCAATTACAAACGTCGTGCAGAAACCAGATCGAACATACGAGTAGCTTCTATATTAATCGTTTCTTGACAGAAACGTGTCTCTCAGAAGATTAGGGCGGAAGAATGTTGTTATCTTCAATTCTTTATTTATTTCACTTTGCTTAACGCACTTTTTTGGCGAGATCAGCAACACAGGGCTATACAAAATGCGTATCTTCACAACAATTGTGCTTTTGTGCGACATTATTGAAATATGATAGATGTGTTATTATGGTTTATTAAAGAAATGTAAAATGGTTTCCGTGTTTACATAGCCTGATGTAAACTCGCGGGAGGCTGGGAGAACACGAGATAAGCATAGGAAACCACGAGGCGAAGCGGATTGGTTTCCAGCTTATCGAGTTGAGAAACATCACAAACACGCACGCAAGCATCTGATTCCCGCGGCTTGCCTGTGTACTGCTGAAACGGGACCCGTTGCCTAGCACGTGACCAACATCTTCCTAAATTTAAATTTTACTCTTTTCCTTGGGAACCTTTTTTACTGAAAAAAAAAAATTTGTGTGTATAGGGTGTACATATAGTATACTTTAAATTGCTAAAATAATTTTAGGGTCAGAATCTTTAATTTGATCAACATGTTTTGTTGTGGCCATTCCTTTTCCAAGAAAGCGTAGTAAACAGTTCAATTTTTCGGTGTTTGTCCAAGCGTGAAAAATACAACTTTGTCTTGACAAACTGTCACGCTTCTCCATTCACAGCCATGCGAAATCCCTGCTGTCGAGCTGCGACTTTAATTGAACGCGTGAGAAGGCTTTACAAACGACATTAAACAGGATTTGGCGGAAAATGAATCTTGATTTAAGGTGGTATTTACTTGCAGAAATTTAAACACGGTAATGTGACGGTGTGTACCAAACTTGCATGTTTCACGCTTGAACAAATGCGTAGAAAGCTGAATACTGAAAACAAAATACTCTTAGTAATACGATTCAAAAGGCTGTTGTTTTAACAAAAGCTTACACAAAGACGTCACAGTTGTTATGGTAATACCTTTTTAATAATCATTTTCATAACAACCTTGACCATTGTAAAGGTTTCACAGAATTCGTCAAAATTATGAAAGTTTCACTGTCACTCGAACAGCTAAACCCAAGAGTTGAACGTTCTCTGGATAAAATTACAAATATCAAAGAGAGAGTTGATGAAATTTTGGGCGAGAAACCCTCATCAAGCAGCTGACCGAAGTTGATGCAGGTGGTTCAATATTTACTCAAAAATTCTAAAGACATTTGCATATGTTTGGATTTTCACATTCTACAGAGGTGCTGTTATTTCTGCCATGAATGTAGAGAATTACATCAACGCTTGCAATCGGTAAGTGTCTATGCGGTTGCTTAAACCTGAAAGGTTCATCTTACAATTAATACTTCACCTAAGCGCGAATTACAATTAAGAAAACACATTAAAAATTTGGATCGAAACCATCAGCGCGATCTCATCATGGAAGCCGAAGTCTTCTATCGAACGGCTGAGCTTCCTAGAGTTACAGGATCCAATCTCGACCCCCAAAAGCATTGGAATCAGGCCGAATGCTTTTCCAAAGAAAAAAATACGTTCTGTTCTGCCAGCGGGTCTCGGGGGTTAGGGTTTAGGGTAAGCTGTACGTTCAACACCAAGTATCTAAACAACATTTATGTCGCATGTTCACTTGGTCTCTGAGCCGGACTAATTAGACAGCGAGAATTTCCAGGAGATGGATTTGTGAGATCTCAAAATAAAATCCTGTTGTTGATGCGGTTAATCAAATCGACCTCGTTCGAACATATAAGGCGGGAGAAAGCCTCAATTCGAATAATCATGAGGAATTGCAAAGATGTCAGTCAAGAATAGCCGAGCTTGACAACGGCATTTGTTAACTAGTAAAAAAATAATGATTATAAAAGTTTACGGTGAATGCCCCAACTTTCTGTCGAAATAAGAGTAAGTTTAAATTTTTGTGCCCTCTTGAGTAGTGTTTACGTGAGGGTTACTTTTTAATATCTTCCATACCCTCTTGGGTGGTGTATACCTAAGTTTTTTTTTATCTTTTATACCCTCTTGGGTAGTGTATATCTGAGGGTTATTTTTTATCTTTTATACCCTCTTAGCTGCCGTATACCTGAGGGTTACTTTTAATTTCTTCTACACCCTCTTGGGTAGTGTACACCTGAGGGTTACTTTTAATCTGTTCTATACCCTCTGGGTAGAGTATACCTGAGAGCTATTTTCAACCGTCTCTTACACCCATTAGGCAGTGTATACCTGAGGTTATTTTTGAAAACAACCTGGTGACTGACAGGTGCTTTGCCTCATTTATTGAAATAGTTTTTTCATGTTTTGCAATTTTTTTATTGAGACTTTTGCTCTCAACACCAAACACTGTTGATATGATGTTAAAAAAGCCGGGTAAACCAGCCATGGGTACCCCAGCTATCGCCCCAATTCCACAGAGAGAAACCGCCACACAGCTGACGTTACTCCCGTGTATGTTGTGCGACAAAGGATCTAATTTTCTTTAATTTGCCAACAACACGTCGGTAATGGGTAATTTCATTATCAAGTTCCTTCTTATTATATGGTGGTGCACTTGGGCCGCGAAGCGCTTCGCGCCTAAGTGGTCCCAGAACCGAAGGGCTTGGGCACGAAGGGCTTGGGCACGAAGAGCTTGGGACGCTTCGAGGCCCCTAGCATGAAGGGCTTGGACCATGACCCGAAGGGCTTCGCAAAATATTTTCAGAAGACATTCTTAAATCATGAAATTATTTCCAGCTCAAACCTCAAAGGGAGACCATTGAAATTAATGAACTCTTTGTCTCTAAAATGTCAACTGCTGTTTTTTTAAATTAAAGTTTGATTTCAAGGTTGACTTGAAATTTAGGTTAAATTCATGAGATGACCTGAAAATCAAGATTGTTTTCAAAATAAACCAGAATTCCCCTTTTCTCACTAGTATAACACTCAAAAATTCGATGAAAACACATCGATTTTGAACTGCCCTTATTTGGATCTTTATTAGACCGATTAACGGTTCACTGACTTTGTTACAACTTCCTCCTTTATGACTGCATCATAGGAGCTGGGTTAAGATATCGTGTGTTTGATAAAGTAGATCACTTGGAAAATAAACCACAACTAACCCAAAACATTAAAGATAAGGTGGTGAAATTGCGACCAGAAATATCTCACACACCTACAAAGCTATTTCGGTTTGCTTTGACGGAATCAGTAGGGCGGTAGTACGCTCTAGTGCACGTGGTTGTCCACTGTTCTAAAATCGAATTGTTTCAGCACCCTTTCAGTTGTGTGTGGATGACCTTAAGAGAGGTTAAAGTTTGGCTAAAGTTCAACTGAGATAATATGCATTTAAAAAGATGTCACCTGAATTTATCAAATTTTTTACTGCAATGCAATCTTTGCGATCGATTGATAAGTAAATACCGACAGTTCTTGGGATAGAAAAGCCGTCAGACATATGCAAAGTGCACTCAGCTTATGGTGCTGTGGGAACAAAAAGACACATTTGCGCTATTCAGAAGCACAAGTGTTCTTTAACATTTCATTCGTCATATGGAATAAGTCTATTATCTGTCGGAACTTTTTATAAAAGCCTTGATAACGGTCTTACTTTTTCAAATTGGTTCCTTGGGTTCGGAATGAACTTGACAAAAGATAACCAGCAATCACGTCGCACCTTAGTCCTCTTTTTCGCTCCAAACAGGTCTAGGCACTAACTGAGATTTTTCAAATTGCTTACTGGAATCAGTGCACTCTAAAAACCTGTTTCTCAACCTAAAGATGCCCAAAAATTTTGTTTTGGAAACAGTATTCTGAAACTCATTACTTTTTTGGGCTTCACCCAAGCCACGTGTAGGGGCAAAGTACAAGCTCTTTAGCTCTGTATGGGAGGGCTAGAAAATGTAGAAAGGTTCAACACACTCGTGTTTCGCTATCGTTTTGCTCGCTTGATCTTTTTGTGAAATGAACGCCACCCCGGTTAGGAGGGTTACTCCACCTTGAGACGTTTACATGGCAAATTGTCACCCCGGCCGACAGGGTTATCCTACAGCAAACCGGGCGACCCACCTATCATGTACACGTGATCAAGATAAAATAAGAAATTATATGAACAGGCAGGTTACCCCACCTAGGCGGGTTACCTCACCTACCTGGGGTCCAGGCCTCCATGTAAATAGGTCCGAAGTGTTACTGCATTGTGAAATGTGATTTTTGGCATGTCTAGAACTTTAAGCAAGTTTATGAAATGTTAGCACTCAGCGAGGTCTGGTTTGAAACCGTGGAAAACTAAAACGTTTCGCGGCGCAGGAACGGAATGAATAAGCTTATTGCAATTGTTTCCTCTATTTAACCTGCAGTTTTTTCTCTCTCCTAGAACATCAAAAGCTGGATTACGGCAATTGCTTGAGTCAGATAAGTACATTCCTACTTTTTATTTTGATTTTTTGAACTGTTCACCTCATTGCTAAACTTTGATTGCGTAGAAGCAACAATAAAGTTTCCGCTAACAAGACAGGTAAGTGATAGTAGTAAGTGAGCCAACGCACGTCATCAGAGATCGGATTATTGACTAGTTGAATACGCATTGTATCTGATCACTTTGGATAGACTTGAGAAAACACCCATTGAAGCTTGTGTGTTTCAATTCGCTGTTAAAGGAACAACTTTCAGACTATGAATTATGTCAGGCCCCACCTGACAAACTTGAAAGACTCACTTTCAAGTGAAACATATTCTGCAATACAAGAAAAGCAGGAGAAAGACCTTTGGAAGATGAAACGCTTTCAAGCTACGTGTTATCTGTTTTCCTTGTCACCATCGAGATGCTCTGCCACAAATGTTATGCCACAAATCTTGAAAGAACAAGCGCTTTCAAGATATTTCCAAATTGCTCGATGGAAAAATTGCGTTCAAGCGTTACAATTTTAAGACAGAGAAACTTTCGCTGTTTGGTAACTGATCCTTAACTTCTCTAAATTCAATTTTTCTGCGGCTTAAAAGTTGTGAATTTCCGTGCGAATTCCGATTCTATTGAAAAATGAGGAGATTCCGGTTTTTTTTCTTGTTACTTCCAAGCAAATTAAATAGTGTCACCCCGGGATAATTTCGTCCTTCAGGTTAGTATCAAAAACAGAATAAAGTAAAAAGTATATAAAAAACATATCTGACTCATCAAAGTCAAAAATGAACTAATCTATGAGAAATAATGCTGAGGTTAGTTTACGATGTATTAGCTAACTTTGGTTCAATATATTGTTGTTGTAGTAATTGTTAAAATCGCCACCGATGTTGTGAATGTAACTGATGGAGAGTCAATGTCTCTGAACTGCACCATAAGTGGCGATGGAAGTTATACCTGGGAACGTCAAGATGGAATCGAGGTCGAAAATGCAAAAAGACAGGTGAGTCTTCTTTCCTTATTTTCTATAAGTATATATCTACTACTTTCTTTTATTTTTTCACACTGAGCCAAAGATGTTTGAAATTATCAAAGTTTTGAAGAAATGATTAGCATGCAGTAAGCAACCATCGAGTTTTGGATGCACTAGGAGTGTTTGCTAAGCACTCAAGAAGCTAGAGTCGTACCTCGCCTCTTACACTTCTTTCGTGCCTAGCAACCTCCCGCGCGCATCCATAATTCGATGGTTGCACGCTGCAAGCTGAGCATTTTTTAATACTACCCATCTGGTTATATTTTACCCCACCTTCTCACGGACTCTCTCGACAGTTTTCACCATCCATCCCACCGTATTTCCTCCCTGCATCTGGAGTTGTTGCAGTACAGCAGGTCTCCCATTCTTATTATTGAAGACAACAACGTGGCACTGCTAAGAATGTGTCCGTTTCCTATTTCGGAATATCGAACTGAGCTGTATCTTGATTACTTCCAATATCAATGAGAACACCTGTAATCGCTTTTCATTGAACATATCTAACTTCTTGCATGCCTTTCTTTACGTTTCTAGAATTCATCATTTCTTTTTTATGGTAATTTTCCTTAAAGATTTCAAATTCAATCACAGGGGTCATTTACATAAAATAAACAAATGGTACTATACAAAACGATCAATTATTCCAACGATAGTGGAATTTCTCCGTATGGAAACCTCTTCCAAGGGATCCCCATTCTCCGGGGTAACAAACTTTGTTCCCCGCTAAGAATAAAGCTCCTTCGATATATGTGCCTGTGTTTCTCATTTGAAAAGGCACCTCGCCCTGAGGACCTAAACTCTGGACCCGAAAGTCACCTCGCCCTGAGGACATAAACTTTGGTCCCGACGAGAAAAAATGCACTTCCAGTTGTCTTCATTTAAGGGAAACTTAGCTCAAAGGACAATTTTCATAAACCAGGAGGTGTCTCCTGTGGAGAGGTCAGGACTGTAGATTCAATCGAACCAATAAGTGCGAAGGAGCTCACTGCCAATAAGAACCAATTAAGTACCAAGGATTGTGGATGTGACCCTGTAATAGAAGCCGTGCAGAAAAAGATCTTCATTCAAAATATCTCATCATACATCTTTAGTCTTGTTTAGGTTAAGAAGCTGGTCCAGAATAGCTTTGCTAATAAAGGGCTATTAAGGACTTTTGAACAAGGATTTCTAAATAATAATCCCAACGCTGTCGCTGTTTTTGTTGAAGGTTAAAGGAGGAGGACGACTGCTTGAAATTATTGATGCGGCCATTGCAGATTCTGGTGCCTACACCTGTAAAGTAGGCGAAATCTCTCACACCATCACGCTACAGGTTCTTGGTAGGTAGATGATAACACACCTTTTAACTTAAACTCACTTTACTCTAAATTCAAAGGGAACCACAAGTATCGTTTAAAGTTACATGTCTCAAATAAATTAATAACTTCCTAATACATAGAAGCAGTCCCTCCTTTTCGGCAAAGTCCGTCGCGTGATTCATAAATACTAGTGAAATAAAACATGGAGAAGCTCGTGGAGAAATCTGGGAAGCTCTTGGAGACATGTTAGCCCCGAGAAAACTTCCCTCAACTTGAAGATAACAATAGCTAAATCGGTAGTTGACAAATCCGCAAAAGAGAGTATAAATAAACAGGAAGGAACAAGCAAGGGTAAGGATGGGAAGATTAAAATGGATTGTAATTGGTCACAAAGTGTTAGTTCGGTTGTTGACTAAAACTCAAAGAGGCAATAATGTACTAGGAAGGAAGAAGTATTATATATTGTCCGTTGTAGAGATGAGCATGTTGTGATTTTTTTTTACTACAGTTCAAGTCAAGGTGGAAATGGCCCTGAAAGTTGAAAATTACAACTACACGAAAGAGCTGGAGAATAAGTCATCGCCACAATACGAGGCAATCGCGAAAAACTTTACCGAGGAGGTATGATTTCTTCCATCTTTCCGTTCCCTCTCTCCCCATTCCTTTTTTTTTCTCCCACGCTCATCCCTTTTTGCTATCCTCTCCAAGCCTCCCTCCTTTCTTTTCCTCCTTCCTCTTTTCTTTCTTCTATTCTCCATTAATTCCCTCTTCCCTCCCTCATTCCCCTCCCAACCTTACCTTCTCTCTCTTTCTTACCTCTCTCTCTTCCTCCTCTTGTCACCTCCTGCCCTCCTTTCTTCTTTATCCTCCCTTCCCATTCTTCTTCCTTCTTCGTTTCTCCTTCCAACACTCCACCATTTCTCCCACCCTCTCACTCTCTCTTCAGTCCTTCCTCCTTCCCTCCTCTTTCCCTAGATTCTTACCTTCCTCCCCACTGTCTGTTCGTACCACTTATTCCACCGAATGACTTACCAACCATCTTTCTCTCTATCTGTCACCTTGTCAACCCGTTCAATAGCTTCGAATGCAAGTGTTTAGAGAGTTCTAATAACTGAAAAAAAAGCAACATCTCTTGTTATGTTTCAGATGGACATCGTTTACAGAAATACTTTAGGATACATGAGAAACGAGGTTTTGAAATTGACGTGAGTACCAGAGCGTATTCCTAATTCTTAACTCCACAGTTAAAAACTCGAAATATTTCATTTTGGCGTGAATCAGTCTCAATAGCATCTAATAGCATATCTCTTAATTCATGTGCTGTATTGATCTAAGCGTGGACAAACTATATCTATGATCTCCATGGCACAAAAATTTTATCGAAAAAGTCACTTTCACTTATCAAAGATAAATAGCAAACAATTCCTTGATTATTGAGAAATGCATATGTAAGTCGTTATTGCATAGAGCTAATAAACCCTCTGACGCCCTTTATTGTAATCAGTCCTCACACCAACGATTTTGAGATCCGATTCCCTACAACTGAGTAACCAGTGTTAGAAAGGTGTTAAGTTTCATGCTCGGAGAAATAATAAAGAAATGGTTTCCCTCTAACTTGACCCCTGATTTCCATTTTTCTATAAGTTACCACGTTATAAATCATTGTAGCTATAGTATGACTATTTTCTAAAACGACTTTTGTCCCTAAATATTTTAGGAAAGGAAGTGTGGTAGTGGATTTCAACATTATCATTCAAATTGTAACAACCGATCCAAAAAATGAAACAACTACCGTAGATAAAAAGGCCTCAGTCGTCCAGACAACAATTAAAGAAGCCAAAGATGGGTTTGTAGGACGGCTAAAAGCTTCCAAAGTTATTCCAAAGAGTAAGTGTGCCGTGGTGAAACTGGGTATTTACATGTTTTTTTTAACACTTTTGAGCGGAATTCGATATTTTTCAGGACTCCAGTCTCTTACTATGCTTCTTTCCACCCAGAAGCATGGATAGGTATTAATGGGTGGTAACAAACTGCCACTGCTCCTGAAACGTAGCAAAATTGCAGATGAATTACCTGTCATGGAGTGGTTTCCAATCCAGGAGAAGTAGGAACACTCCTGGTATCTAATTTCCCCTGAAAGTATCCTTAATTGCTAACTAAGAGAGCTTTTGATTGTTGAACAAATACTCCTGTTGGGAAAGTGGGATGTTTATACGAAAACGTTGTGGAGAATGTGCAAACTGGTGCTCAATGGACCACTTGCTTTGTAAGATTTAATCACCCGGGTAAGAAAGGGTTAATGTCAATAGAAACGTTACATAAGGAGGCTTTTCTTGCATCATGTGATTGGAAAGGATATGAAGAAAGCAAAATAACATGTAAAACGAGCGGGTTATGCCACAGACGCACTCAGAGGCAAAAACCTTCAAGCAGTAATATTAAAAATATTCGCCATTGTTTGAGTAATTTCCAAATGTCTCTGTTACTTGAAACTTGCACCTTGTTTCATCGTTTAGCCCTCAGATAATCACTTTGATTGTCCACTCTTTCGAAATTTATGATCATTTCCTATCTATTCTTCATTTTTAGCCGAACCTCCAGAGCCTAATGGTGTGGAGATCTTTGATATCAAATCAGATGAGCTGAGTGTTCGATGGAAACCGTCGGAAGATGCTGAAACTTTCGACGTTCGCACTTACTCGGTGCAATACAGAGCATATGGTGAAAAGACCTATGGCGAGCATAATCAAACAGCAACCACTGAAACTACAGACCACTCGTACAGGATTAAGTCTCTCGAACCTGAGACTGTCTACATGATACGGGTCGGTGCTATTAACCCGTATGGACCCAACTTCAACGAGGAAACTGGCCATGAAACCGAACCCGCACGTAAGCCATTTTAAGTTATATACAGCAATTTGTAAAATTGACAAAGTTATCCACAAGTATTCGGTGAATTTAAAGTTTTTTCACTGTTTTTTTAACCCTCACACGTGACGTCTCGTGCTATAATTTTTTTATCTTTAGTTTTATGCATTACTATCGTACCTTCGCAATTTGTAAGCGTCTAAACGCAGGTCGTTATACTCTGGCAAACATATATTGGAAATTTCGTCTTCCTGTTGTAAAATTTCGATGAATTCCCTCGTTTCGAAACTAGGGAGAGAAATTTTGAATCAGAGTCAGGCTTTAACAAGCCATTTTAACACTGTAGTGCTACTCACATCTTACACCAAAGG